TGAAATGGGTCATTATTTGCTTACTAAGGATATCATGTTTGTTAAGGTGGAGGAGGGTCAGAGAAAAAGAGGAAGACTCCCAACGAGATGGATTGGCCAAGTGGCAGCATCGATGGCCTCAAGCGTGGCAACAGTAGTGAGGTTGGCCCAGGATCGGGCAGTGTTTCGTTCTGCTGTGCATAAGGTTACTATGGGTCGGTACCAACTCGATGGCACCTAACAACACCACCAACAGCAACAAGCTATCATTGGCCAAGTAAAAGGAGTCCCTGAGTGGAGCAAATGGTTAAAGCGTTCAGCTACTAATTGAAAAACTGGCCATTCTAATCCCCAGAGGTGCCTCGGAAGAAAGAAAAAACCACAGTAGTGGAAAGCCAAGTAGCCAAAAGTCTCCTGAAACACACAGACACACATATACCCACAAGACAAATGAAGGGGCCATATTCTTTTCCACAGTTTAACTGAAGCCATTATTGCTCTACTTAAACATGATGTTAAGTTAAGTAAGGAAAAACCAGTCTTTAACCCTCAAAATTCTCAGAGTGCTTCCAGCGTTAAGGGATCAGTCTAGGGACATCTTGGCAATGGGCCCTTCAGCTTCATTAGCTGTCCCAGCTGCCACCACTTGGGGCAGAAATGAGCCTTCCGTTGCTGTTAGGTGCCCTTGAATGGCTTCAGACTCAGCAAATTCAAAGGCCATTGTTTTAACCAGCTCTGTTCTGGGATGGTTTGTTACATCAATAGATCACCAAAACCGTAATGACCAGAGGAGTAAACTGGTACAACAAAGCCTTTCAGATCCCATCACTACTGTCCTATAAAGCCACCGGAGGATTCTGGTGGTCTCAAGGGGAGCCTCTTAACATGACTTAGAAGTAAGAAGGTCTGTTTCTGTTTCGCACCAGGCAGCATTTTAAAAAAAGTGTGAATGGCAGGAGCCACAACCCAAATCAAACCAAACCCAGGAATCAGGACTTCTGGTCCTGGCTCAGGGAGAGATTTGGGAAGAAGCCCTCTATGAGAACATAGTTATTTCTTCCTGCCTTTTACCCTTCTATTTCTCTTCTTTTGGACCACACAGTAAAACGCAGCTCCCCAGATTTGGGAAGAAGCCCTCTATGGGAAAATTGTTTTTTTTTTTTTTTCTTCCTTTCACTCTTCTGTTTCTCTTCTCTTAGACCACACAGTAAAAAGCAGCTCCCTAGCACAGTATCTGCTCCAGATAACAGTGTATGATCACTCTTTGTCCCTGAACTGTCCAGGCAAACAGAAAAGGCAGGAAGTGAGCCTTTTTACAGTCTACATATTAAAAATACAAAATGTCACTGCCAAAAGTCAGGCCAAGTGGTTTTGTAGACCTAACGGCTGTTCCACGGGAGAAAGAGGAGGCTGTGCTGTGTGCTCCTGTAAGATTTAGTCTCAGAAACCCCATATACGTTGTTGTTGTTAAGAACCGTGGAATCGGTTCTGACTCATAGCGACCCTGTACATGGTTGGTTTCCGAGGCTGCAAATCTTTATGGGAGCAGAAAGCCTTATCTTTCTCCCGCGGAACAGCTGGTAGTTTCAAACTGCCGACCTTGAGGTTAGCAGCCTGATTCGTAACCACTACACTATCGGAGCTTCTCAACTTAATGGCAGTGTATTAATTGCAATACACTTAGTGAGGTCTTAGAGTTCTTGTGTTGCACTTGATTGCTAACCACAAGGTTCAGCAGTTCAAACCCACCAGCCACTCCTCGGAAACCTTAAACAGGTTTGTTATGAGTCAAAACCGATTTGAAGGCAGTTAACAACAACAGCAGTGGGGTCCTGATGAGTCTCTGTAGGAGAAACACAGGACTGCTAACCACAAGGTCAGTGGTTTAAACCCACCAGCCACTCCTTGGAAACCCTATACAGGGTCACTATGAGTCAGAACGGACTCGACGACACCTGATGACAACAAGAAGCACCGTACACTTAAGTGTCGTGCTGGTAACCCACCAATTACTCCATGAGAGAAAGATGCGGTAGTTTGCTTCCATAAAGATGGTAGTCATAGAAACCCTATGGGGCAGTTCTACCCTGTCCTGTAGGATCGTGGCAAGTCCAAATCCACTAGCCAGCAGAGGTCTGTGGCAGTTAGAATAGACTCAAAACCAAATATATTTGAGCCTGCTTTAAACTGAAATCAAACACTGAAGCATTCATACTTCATTGTCTGAGTGAATGTCACCCAACAGTGCATACAATATTTTTAGCAGAAATCCAACATTGACTTAGCAATGAACTTCTGATCCAGATTAACCATGTTCTTTAGCAAAGGATTGTGCTCAGATGAGGTAACGTGGAAGGACAGCATATTTGCTTTCAAAACCCACTTCATCCAGAAATGTCTCCTTTAACTTACTGCACTACCTCCCAGATAAAAGCTATTGCCCCCTTCTTCTTGTGTTCTTGGAGTAGGCCCTGGGCAGTGCAAATGGTTAAGAGCTAGCCAAAAGGTTGGTGGTTCGAACTCACCCAGAGGCACCTTCGAAGAAAGGCCTGGCGATCTGCTTCTGAAAGGTCACATTCATGTGCTCTAGGTCACCCCTATTGAATGCTATTCTGCTTTACACTGTGCAACTCAAGGGGTTGCCCTGAGTCAGAATTGACTCCTAGGCCATTGGTTTACTTTGTTCTCTCTTGTTTGTAAAGCTATTAAAACTTGACTCGCATTGGCAAAATATTGCTCCAGTCAAGCCTAGCTTGATCTTTCTCCAGAGCCCTCAACTATTCCTCCAGGACATCTTGTATTAGATGCTACAAAGCTGAACAGACTCACTGCATTCATATCTCCACTCATTCACCTTGCACTCATCACTTGCAGTTTTCTTATAGTAATCTCCCAATTCTAAGAAATAACGAGGGATTCACATAGCCTAAAAAGCTGACTTATGGAAGAACTGTGGCACTATATGATAAACACTGGACTGCTAACAAAGTTGGTGGTTCGAGCTTGGTAAGGTCAGTGAAAAAGAGGAAGACCCCCAACAAGATGGCGTGGTACTGTGGCAGCAGCAAACAATGGGCTCAAGCGTAGCCACGATTGTCACAGTGACACAGGACTGGGCAGTGTCTGTTGTGCATAAGGTTACTATGAGTCAGTACTCACTCGACAGCACCTAACAACAACAACAAAGATTTACAACCTTGGAAACCCGATGCAGGGTTCATGAGTCAGAACTGACTCTAGAACACACAACAACAACAACAACAAAACTGACTCAAGAACACAGCACACTAGACGACCTTCATTACACATATTAAAATTAATTCTGGGTATCAAAGACATTTTTGTCTAACCCAAGGTCATCAAGAGTCTTTCTCTTAAGCTTTCCTCTTTAAGTTTTATCAGTTTAGACTTTACATTTAGGTCTATGATCCGTGTCAAGGTTGTTTGTTTGTGTGTGTGTGTGTGTGTGTGTGTGTGTGTGGATGTGGGCAGTATGGGTGGAGGTTCCTTGTTTTTCACCATCTGTTCTGCACCACTTGTTGGAAATGTTCATTTTACTGGATGCTTGCCAAAGATATAAAAATTATCAGTAACTGTGAGTCGAATTTGAAACTGATCAAAGAACTGTGCCGACTCAGGCAGGTGACAAAGGAGTCCCAGGCCCAGATTTTGAGCATGGCCACACTTGATTGTACTGCATTTGTTAAGTATTGTTGTTAAGTGTCATCGAGTCGGTTCCAACAAACCCTGTATAGGGTTCCCATCAAGTGGCTGATGAGTTTGAACTGTCGACCTTGTAGTTTAAACTGACCTTGTGGTCCAGCGCTTCTTCTCACGGTGCCACACCAGGACTCCGTGCCGTGGAGTCGGTTCCGACTCATAGCGACCCTGTACAGTGTTTCCGAGGCTGTAAATCTTTATGATAGCAGAAATCCTCATCTTTCTTCAGCGGAACAGTTGGTAGTTTCGAATTGCTGATCATGAGATTAGCAGCCCGATTCATAATCACTACGCAACTCCATAGAGGCAACCATTTCTTGTGGCCTTGAGTAATGTGTATAAATGGCCCTCAAAGCATGTGTCCTTGCTACTGTATAGTATTGTTGTTAGATACTGTTGAATGGACTCCCACTCACAGCAATCTCAGGTGATAAATTCAGAACTGCCTCATAGTGTTTTCTTGCCTGTAATCTTTCCAGCAGACTCTTGGTTTGGAGCTGTAGGATCAGCACTGGACTGCAAACTGCAAGGTTGATGGTTTGAGCCCACCAGCCACTATGGCAGGAGAAAGATGAGCCTCGGAAACGCTGTACCCGGTCACTATCAGTCAAAACCCACTCAAAGGCACTGAACAATCTTTACAGCACATCACCAGGACTTGGGGCTGTACCTACTGAAAACAGCGCCCATGGCAATGAGTTTTATCTTGCTGACTGATCTCTCACAGCGGCATGGAAACAGTTATGGCTATTAGAATCAGCTCCAGAGCGCCACCCACAAGCAGTGCCCAGGACACCCACTTTAACTGCAATGCCTTAGAATATGCCTCTGCCAGGCCTTTCTTCCAAGCACCACTGCGTGGGTTCCAACCAACCTTCTGGTTAGCAGCCACCTGAGCTCAGACTATATATTCCCAGATCTACTAAGAAACTCCGAGCCCACCATCTTTGAGGGTAGCTAATCCGCAGCTGCATAAGATCAATATGAGTCGGTACCAACTGGATGGCACCTACAGACAACAGCAGTGCCCCTGTAGTTCTCACTGTAACCTTAGCTCAACCACACTGTCCCATTAACCCAGTGCTTCCCATGCTAGGTGCTCATCAGACACCTGGGGCGCTCTAAAAGCGCGGGTCCCGAGTCAGGGCCAGTGGGGGCAGGCCCGGGCAGCGTGGTCGGGAAGCCCCCGAGGTGCAGACTGGGCGCCACTTTGGGGCTCAACCTGCGGGGAGCGCCGGCGGTGCGGCCAGGACCTGGGTTTTCCGGGTCAGGGCCCAGGCGGGCGGCGGGGCCAGGCCCACCTGGTCTCCAGGTTGCTGAACTTCTTGGTGACCACCTTGCCCAGCTCCAGGCCCAGCCGTTCGGCCACGCTCTGGGACAGATCCTGGTGCGAGGAACCGCTGAAGAGCACAATGTTGGGCATGGTGAAGCTCGCGGCGACGACAGTGACGCTGGCGGGAAAGCGAGGCGACAGGACCCAGAGGAGATGGAGGAAAAGAGGAGCGGGAAGGCGCTTAAGAGGGTGCTGGGGAGGGAGGAGCGAGAAGGCGCGTCACGACCTGGAGAAGCAAGGGAGGAGGTAGCGGGGAAGTAAGGTGTTGAGGGGAGAAAGGAGCTGGAGGGGAGGGAAGAGTAAGAAAAAGCTTAGGACCTGGGGAGTTATGGGAGGAGCTAGGGGACTGAGAAGTGAGAAAGTGCAACCAAATCGGGAGAGAAAGGGGGAGGAGCTGGAGAGGGAAAGGCTAGAAATGAAGTTTGGGGGAGGAGCTTCAGGGAAGGGAGGAACCGCAGCGGTAGGAGGTGTTGAAAAAGCGCCTGGGAAGAGAGGGAGGAGGACCAGGAGATGCTAGAGGGTAGGAGAGTGGGAGCTGAAAAGGGTTGGAGAAACTAAATTGGGAGGAGAAACTATGACAGGAAAGCAGGGAAGCAGGAGCTGTCAGAACACAAGGACGCAAAGTTGTGAGAGTCTGTATGGTCCTGAAACACTTGTGTACCCTTGTTTTTGGGGAGAGGAGGGCTTCAGAAGGAACTGAGATTCTCTTGGTGGTTGTGGGAGCATGCTCCTGGCTGCAACCTGGACCTTTCTGACCTGCCTCACTTGGAAGACAAAGGAACCAGATTAATTGCAGAGGGAAAGGGACAGTGGGGGTGCCTCCCAACTGAGAGAGACCCCCTCAACCTCAAGAACCCCAAACCTAGTATAGGCTACTGGTGTTCAACTATAGCAAGGGTCAGCAAACTGCTGCCCATAGGTCAATCATATAGCGGGCAGCTAAGACTGATTTTTTAGATGAACATTTGCAGTGGATGTAGTCATAGAACACACTGGTTTTGAACCCTAGAAGAAATGTTATCCTCCACACACACACACACACACACACACACACAAATATTCTGTTTACAGGTTTATTTTTGGATATATGCAATTATTATTGTTGCTATTATAGTTTGGATTTTGTCAATAAAAACGTTGTTGAAATTTTTCTCTCTTGATATGTGTACCAAAACCCAAATCAGATGTGTGTTCTGAATCATACAAACCCCAGGTGGATCAGAGTGGAACTGTGCTCCATAGAGTTAACTCATTCTCACAAGTAGGTCTCTGAGTAGTCCAGAACCTCCAACATCTTGGTGAGTAGCCAAGCACATTAATCATTTGCACCAACCAGCCCTGGGACAGTTGGGAATTAATTCATTCAACAATTAGAGCTCTTACTATATACAAAGTACTAGTCTAAATGGTGTGAAGAATACAAGATGTCAACCAATTCAAATTAGTGTTTTCCCATCCCATCCCTATCCATAAACCATTGAAGATAGAAATCCACAATGGATATATTTCTCTTTGATTTCTTACATTAGCATTTCGTATACATTTTATTTATTTTCTTGTTGTTAAGAATACTTACACACAGCAAAACCTATCAATTCAGCAGTTTCTATGTGTACAATTTAGTAACATGGATTACATTGTTTTTCTAACAATTTTGTTTGCATATTATAGGTCCTTAACCCATTGTTAATTTTTTTTTTCGATGTATGGTGCGAGGCATGGATTCTGTTTCACTTTTCTGCATATGGAAATTCAATTTTACCAGCACCATTTATGGAAGATATTCTTCTCTCCCCATTGAATGGACTTAGCGCCCTTGTCAAAAATCAGTTGGCCATAGATGTGTAGGGTATTTCTGGACTTGCGATTCTTTCCATTGGGTTATTAGGAGTCCTGGTGTGGCACTGTGGGTTAATGTGCTGGACTGCACATTTGAACTGCAAGGTCAGCGGTTCAAGTTTACTTGTATAGGGTTCAGAAACCCTATACAGGGTCGCTATGGGTGGGAACTGACTGGACAGCACTTAACAACAACAACAACATATGTCTATTGCTATACCAGTACCAGGCTGTTTTGATTATTGTAACTGTATGATAAGCACTGTACTGCTAATCACAAGGTCAGGGGTTCAAACGCACCAGCCGCTCCTTGGATACTCTGTACAGGGTTGCTATGAGTTGGAACTAATGCCACAGTACTTAATAACAACAACAATAAATAGTGTATGTCTTGGAGTCTCATTGTGGAGCTGTAGTCTACTACCTGCAAGGTCGGCAGTTCAAACCAGCCAGCCCATCCTTGGAAGCCTTATCCAAGGTCCCTATGAATCGGAACTAACTCGACGGCAGTTCACAACATTGAGTCAGTTCTGACTCTTAGCGACCCTGTATAGGGTTGCCAAGGTGGGTTTAAACTGCCAAACTTTCAGTTAGCAGTTCAGTGCTGATCCCACAACGCCACACCAGGACTCAAAAATTGTTGTTGTTAAGTGCCATGAAGTCAGTTCCGACCCACAGCGACCCTGCAGAGGGTTTCCTAGGAGCGGCTGGTGAGTTTGAACTGAACTTGTTCAAATTGAACTTGCGGTGGAGTGCTTACCCTACAGTGCTATCCCAGGACTCCAAAATAATGTGTTTTAAAATCAAGAAGTGTGAGCCCTTTTTCTTCTCTTTCAACACTGCTTTAACTCTTCAGAGCCTCTTGCCATTCCATATAGAGTTGAGGATTGGTTTTTCTGTCTGCAAAGGAGGCCATTGGAGTTTTGATCCGAATTACATTGAATCTGTAAATCCCTTCATAGTACTGACATCTAAGCACTATCTGTATAGTATTTTAACTTAGAATAATAAATATTTTTCAGTAAGTCTGATATCTGATAGCACAGAGATAAGCTAGACATCATCAGAATTTAAAACATCAGAGAAAATAAATGTCTGTTCTTTAAAACCAAAAAAATATACAAAGCTTTTGTGCTTTGAAGGATATCATCAAGATAATAAAAAGGCAAACCACAGAATGGAAGACAATATTTTCAAATCATAGATCTGATAAGGGATGTATATCTAGAATATATAAAGAATTCTTACAACTCAAAATAAAAAATAAAAAAAAGACAACCCAATTTTAAAATGGACAAAGAATCTGAATAGACATTTCTCCAAAGAAGAGATGCAAATGATGTACATTTGCGACAGAGGATATATCTATATATGTCACTAGCTATTGTGGCACTGTGGGTTAATGCGCGAGACTGCAAAACCATTTGTACTGCAAGGTCGGCGGTTCAAGCTCACCAGCTGCTCCTTGGAAACCCTATTCAGGGTCGCTATGGGTAGGAATCGACTCGACGGCACTTGACGACAACAACAACGTACTATAAATGGAGTCCTGGGATAGCAGCGAAGGATAAGCATTTGATTTCTAACCATGAGGTTGGTAGTTCAAATCCTCCCACCCCTTCTCGGAAACCCTATGCAAGGTCGCTATGAGTCGGAACCTGCTCGATGACAGTTAACAACAACAACAAGGTGCAAAGCTATGAAGTCTTTTTAGACATAAATAAACACCTTGAGGGAACACGTCACTGGGTCTAGGGGCTCAGAACCGTAGTCTCATGGGACACCGAGGTCAACTGGCATAAAATATAGTCCACAAATAAAATGTTTTACATCCTACTTTGATGAGTAAAGACTGGGGTCTTAAAGTGCGTGGGCAGCCATCTATAGGTCTCTCTCTTTGTGGTGGAAAGAGAATTGAAAACACATAGAAACAATTAGTCCAGTGGACTAATGGACCAAGCTAATATCCATCTCCATGACCCTGAGACCAGAAGAATCAGATGGTACCCAATTACCACTATCAATTGCTCTGAAAGGGAACACATTAGAAGGTCCTGATTAGAGTGGGAGAAAAATGTGGGATAAAACCCACATTAAACAACAACAACAAAAAGACCAGGGCTACCAGTTAGATACCAGTTAGCTAGAGACTGGTGGAACCCCCAAGACTGTGACCCTTAGTCGTTTTCACTTCTAGGCATATAACCAGGAGAAATCAAAACATACATTCACACAAAAAAGTTGTACACAAATGTTCAGAACAGCATTGTCCATAATCAAAAGATCAAAATAACCTGGATGTTTACCAATTGATGAATGGATAAACCAAATGTGGTCTATCCATGCCATGAATTATGATTCATGCAAAAGAAGGACGTACTGATTCATGCTACAACATGGATGAGCCTTGGAAACGTTATGCTGAGTGAAAGAAATCAGCCACAAAGTACCGCATAATATGTGATTCTATTTGAATGAAACGTTCAGAAGGGGCAAATTCATAAACAGAAAGTGGATTAGTGAATGAGTGATTGTCTAGGCTGGGGGAGGGGAGATGGGAGACTTAGGGGAGATAACAGCTAAGGGGTATAGGATTTCTTCTTGGGGTGATAACTAGCTTCTAAAATTGATTGTGGTGGTGTTTGCCCAACTATGAACATACTAAAACCCCTGAATTGTGCACTTTTAATGGAGGAGTTGTATCGTATATCAATTATATCTGAATCAATTAAAAATAGCTATATTAAGTTGTTGTTGTTAAGTGCTAATCAGTCCTGTATCGGGTTTCCGAGGCCTTACATTTTTACAGGAGCAGAAAGCCTTATCTTTCTTCCATGGGGCAGCTGGTGGACTCGAATCGCCGATCTTGTGGTTTGCAGTCTAGTACTTATCCTATGGAGCCAGTGCCCTCCCTTTGTTATACTATAAGCACATATTTATTCTTGATTCATAGCGACTCCTGTATATGATTTCCAAGGCTGTAAATCTTTTTATTATTAAGTTTTTATTGTGAACTGAGTGATAGTTTACATGGGAGAACATTGGCTTTACACCATCGTTTCATTGCAATGATTACAATCTCCTCCCTGCATCATCATTCAACAGTATTTGCTTCTAGTCCCTGTTTTGTTTTGAAGGAAAGAAGAGTGATGAAAATTGAAGACACTTGGAAACAATATGTCCAGTGGACTAATGGAACACGTGAACATCAGTCTCCATGACCCCATGGATTGAAGGGATCACATTAGAAG